ATACCAAATCTATGTTTTAAGGGTAGTTTTAGGGGCAGTTTGCTGATCTGGCCCTGGAAGTTTAAAGTTTGAGATGTTCCCATGCTTTAACACACCCCACTCACACCATCAGAGCATCAAACGTGGGGAAGCAGGGAAACATCTCCAACCTTTGGGGCGGCGCCCCCTGCAGGCCTGGAGTTGGACTTTGGTGTCCGATTCCCGCATAAAGTTTCAGACTGTTCTGTTTGAAAGTATCACCATCTGAAATAAACCCACTCTTAAGGTATTGCATCCTATAAAGGGAGCTGAGGACCAGGGAGGGAGATGTTTCTGCCTGTTAAAAGGAAGTTTTTCCTTGCCTGTGTCGCCTAGTGCTTGCTCATGGTGGGAATTGTTGGGTTTCTGTAGTTAACTTCAGAGTAGGGTCAGACCTGCTCTGTTTGGAAAGCGCTGTGAGACAACTGTTGTTGTGATGTGGAGCTATATAAATAATATTGAATTGAATTGAATTGAATGTAGAGACCTAGGGTTACCGGGCAACCGTCTCCAGACCAATAGCAACTAATATTTAGACCTAAAGGAAGACCAGATATGGGAACAGTGGATAAAGGAGGAGGCACCCAGAGTTAGACACAGCTTTCAGGGGCATTCAACTTCTGCAGAGTTGATGCATCAGTCTGTACTTCTGATTCAGACATGGCTGATAATAAAAAAAACCCTCCTTTTTCCAACCAGGTCTGTCCCAACAGAGTCTTTTCCTGCAGCATCTCCACCTGAGCTGTTTGCAGACCAACATCTGCACAACACATCCCAAAACGATTTGAAACAGGTGCCATTAAGGCCAAAAAGTCAGACTTAGGTCCATCCAGGCCACTGATCACTGGAGCTGGATGTTAAAGCCTCTTTAAGGAAGTCGCTGTGGATCAAAGGGTCTGAATCATTTCCTGTTAGCATGTAGCATCAATGGATGCTAGCCGTGTAATCTATTTTCTAGCTGAATGTTAAAGCCTCTTTATGGAAGTTTCTATGGATCAAAGGGTCTGCTATAATAATTTACTGTTAGCATGTAGCATCAATGGATGCTAGCTGTGTAATCTATTTTCTAGCTGAATGTTAAAGCCTTCTTTATGGAAGTTTCTATGGATCAAAGGGTCTGCTATAATCATTTCCTGATAGCATGTAGCATCAATGGATGCTAGCTGTGTAATCTATGTGCTAGCTGGATGTTAAATCCTCTTCTAGCATATTGGACTCAAGCTGAGCTAAGAGTGGAACTGGAGCTGGATTTTAATCACATCCTGTTAGCATGTTGCATCAATGGAGTCTAGCTGTGTAATCTATGTTATAGGTAGATGTTAAAGCTTTAATGTTGAACCCTGTTATAGCATAATGGACTCAAGCTAAGCTAAGAGTTAAACTGGAGCTGGATGTCAAAGCCTTTTTTTGGAAGTGACCTTGGACCAAAGCATCTGCTATAATCATTTCCTGTTAGCATGTAGCATCAATGGATGCTAGCTGTGTAATCTATGTTCTAGCTGAAGGTTAAAGCCTCTTTATGGAAGTTTCTTTAGATCAAAGCATCTCCTATCATCAAATCCTGTTAGCATGTAGCATCAATGGATGCTAGCTGTGTAATCTATGTTCTATCTGAAGGTTAAAGCCTCTTTATAGAAGTTTCTTTGGATCAAAGCTTCTGCTATAATATTTTCCTGTTAGCATGTTGTATCAATGCATACTAGCTGTGTAATGTATGTGTTAGCTGGATTGATGCTAGCATGTAGCATCAATTGAGTCTAGCTGTGTATTCTATGTTCGACCTGAAGGTTAAAGCGTCTTTATGGAAGTTTCTTTGGATCAAAGTGTCTGCTATAATCACATCCTGTTAGCATGTAGCAGCAATGGATGCTAGCTTTGTAATCTATGTTCAAGCTGGATGTCAAAGCATCTTTTTGAGAGTTTCTTTGGTTCAAAGCATCTTCTATAATCACATCCTGTTAGCATGTAGCATCAATGGATGCTACCTGTGTAATCTATGTTCTAGCTGGATGTCAAAGCCTCTTCTAGCATATTGGACTCAAGCTGAGCTAAGAGTGGAACTGGAGCTGGATTTTATCATTTCCTGTTAGCATGTAGCATCAATAGATGCTAGCTGTGTAATGTACGTTCTAGCTGGATGTCAAAGCCTCTTTTTGAGAGTTTCTTTGGATCAAAGTGTCTGCTATAAGCATATTCTGTTAGCATGTAGCATCAATGGATGGTAGCTGGGTATTCTATGTTCCAGCTGAAGGTTAAAGCCTTAATGTTGAACCCTGTTATAGCATAATGGACTCAATATAAGCTAAGAGTTCAACTGTAGCTGGATGTTAAAGCCTCTTTTTGAGAGTTTCTTTGGATCAAAGCATCTGCTATAATTACATCCTGTTAGCATGTAGCATCAATGGATGCTAGCTGTGTAATCTATGTTTTAGCTCTTTTTGAGAGTTTCTTTGGATCAAAGTGTCTGCTATAATCATATCCTGTTAGCATGTAGCATCAATGGATGCTAGCTGTGTAATCTATGTTCTAGCTGGATGTCAAAGCCTCTTTTTGAGAGTTTCTTTGGATCAAAGCATCTAAATGTGACTGTGCTGATGTGTCGGGGCTCTGTTACCACGGGGATCATCCTGCAGGACCGGACGCAGTCGCTCATGCTCATCCCCATCAGCCGCTGGTTGTCGGGGTACTCGCCCCTCCTCACCAGCATCTGGTGGCCCATGAAGTTGGGCCTCTCGTAGACCATGAAGCAGCCGCTCTCCACCCGGCAGGAGTTGCAGCGGCTCAGGTGGGAGGTGAGCTCCGCGCAGTCACTGCCCGTCTCGTAGGAGCGGCCCTGGAAGTTCTTGTCCTCGTAGAAGATGATCTGAAACAGAGCAGATACACGGTTTTATTAACCTCCAGAGATTCTAGCTTCTATCTGGTTCTGGTCCAGGTCTCTGATCAGTCTCAGAAAACCTGACTTTGTCCTGGTTCAGGTAGTTTTTCTTCCTAGAGGCTCAGTGGGTTTATCTTTAGATTTAAAACGTCTGTTTACAGATTTAATTCATTTGGTTCTGAGGGTCCAAATTACTTATTTACAACATTTGAATTCCACAATCAGAACTTGATTGGTGGGAAATGTCTAAAAGCATTTTCCTTTAGATTTAAACAGTAAAAAAGCAGGAAAAGCTGAGATTTCTGAGCTCTTTGAACACAACACTGATTTTCCTTCATTTAAAGACCTAAGAAGCTGATTTTTCTTCTGTGATTTTACTTCATCTAAAGACCTAAAAAAGATTTTGAAATGATTTTCCTTCATCTAAATACACAAAATGGCGGATTTTCAATTAGTTCCTTCATCTAAAGAGGCCCGAAACCCCCCGAGAACGTTCCCCCTACATGCTTTTTGTTTTCTTCGGGTCAGACAATAATAATCCACAAGAATGTTTTACCTTAAAGTAACATCTGTTATTGGCCACGCCTACAGGAAGTAACATCTGTTATTGGCCACGCCTACAGGAAGTAACATCTGTTATTGGCCACGC